CTATAAGTATCCTACTAATACCCGAGTTTATTTTTGGACTATATTTTTGTCTTTAATTTTATGAAATAAATTCCACTTCGGAAAAAATTGTTCTTCTTTGCAAACCACCTACATACATTTCTTCTCTAGTACATACACAGGGAAGATGCAACCTTCTAATATAATGGTTTATTTTGATGATCTCCCACAATTACCCTACTCGGCTTTCATTTTATAAAACCAATCAATTTTTAAAGTATATTTTTTGTTATCGAAGCATTTTTTCATACAACCTGCCCTATTTTTTTCTCAGTACACACTTGTCTTTGAGAAAATTCCGAACGTTAAGGACAATATTTGATTACTAATTTAATGAGTCTCCCATACTTACCCTACTCAAAGCAAAATACATTTCTTTACTTTATTTTTGTCTTTCATTTTATAAAAACAATTCATTTACAAATATGTCTTCCCTAGCAAATATCTATTTTTGAAAAGCCTTCTCATATAATAATTTATTTTGATCATATCCCATAATTAACCTACTTATACCTGAGGAGATTTTTTAACTTTATATTTGTATTTACTTTATGAAACCAATCCTTTTCCATTTCTATGCTTCCCTTTTTCTATCTATGAAGCTTACAAACACTTCTTCTCTAATACTCAACTGTTTTCGAGGAACCTTCGAACTTTGTTTTCTAATCTAATGGGTGTGTTTTTGATGATCTCCCATAATTACCCTATTCATACCTCATTTTATTTTTGTCTTTCATTTTAAAATGAAATATTCTTCTTTTTGGAGAAGAATTTTCTGTTAGAGACTTATTTTTTACATAAAACCTACAAAAATACCTTCTCTTAGGACTTTGACCTTCTCTTAAAATTTAATGGGCTTGTTTTGATGATCTCCCATAATTACCCTACTCATACCAGGGGACATTTCCACTCTTTATTTATGCCTTAGAGTTTACAAATCAAACCACAATAAATAATAATAACAAACGTATACCGTACATATAATAGACGATAAAATCAAAAAGAAAATTTAAATAAATGTTTGCTGATATCCCATAACTACCCTATTCATACCTGATGAGATTTCCTAACTTAGTGTTTATCTTTCCTTTATAAAACCTATCCCTTTTCAGAACATATTTTTACTTGTAGCCACAGACTTTTCTATACAACTTGCAAACATTTCTTCCCTAATATACAAATGTTTTTGAAGAAACTTTCGAACTATGATTTCTAATTTGATGGGTTTCTATTGATAATCTCCCTTAAATTACCCTGCTTATATCTGAGAACATTTTCTCATATATTTCTCTCTTGCATTTTATAAAACCAATTCCTTTTCGGAGAACAAATTTTCCACACAACCTACAAAAATACCTTCTCTTCGGATTTTGATTTCTAATTTAATGCGTTTATTTTGATGATCTCCCATAATTACCCTACTCATACCTAGGGGCATTTCCCATTCTTTTTTGTATTTTTTTTTCTTGTATGTGTTTAAGGAAATAATGCATGTATTTCTTACTTCAAATTAGAAGGTTACAAATATAGAATCAGTTTTAAAGATCTAAATAAAACCTTTTAAATTTTGATGGTTGACAATTTCCCATATTTTCCCTACTTAAAGCTGAAATAATTTTTAGTAAAAAAGTTAGTTTGTCGTAAGCAAAAGCTGGCTTAAGAATGTAAGCTTTTTTTGTTAAATGTTCCTTTTTTAGGACCATCCTAATTATCATAATGTCGACAAACTCCAACATATATATTTTTAAGCATTACATGATATATTAAAACGATATATAAAAAAATTAAATTTTCTTCTCCATATTATCTCTTAATGTCATATGTTTAATTTTAACATAATTTAGGCGCCGCCTATATTTTGTCCTATAAACTAATTTTTCTAAATGAATTTTGTCATTTTTTGGGTTATATGTCTTTGCTTATTTACACATCGAAGTGTTAGGTAACTTTACTATTGTGAATTAACAAAACAAATCCACAGGGTAGTTCAACATATAAACAATTTTTATCTGCAAAATATTACTCCGTAAAATATGAAAGGTATATTTGTAGTTGTTGACTTAGCTAAGCTTCTAAAAAAATCGTAAAGTGTTGCCAACACTTACAACATACAGTTCTAAAGTTTACAAGTCTAAAGCTCTTTAGTTCCACAAAGCTTTCATATAGTTATTGGTTAGTAACACCATCTGTTGGAAAGTTCTATAACAAATGCTTTCCCATTGAAGATGTGTTTTGTGGTTTATTTAAATTGTCATTTTTACAACCCCTTCGGTGTGAACATAGCAAAGCTCACATCCAAATATAATAAATATATGGTTCCTTGTTATCGAAGTTTCTGACCCCTTTCGCCATTGGTTATGCGGCTCATCAATTATATTGAACAATATGGTTTTACAAGGGTCGTATATTTTGATAAGTTGAATTTATACCGAAGTTATTGCGAAGTCGCCTCAACGGAATTAAATTCAAATTTGTTAATCTCCAGAAGCAGTCCTAATTTTGTTTTAGCTAATTTTTGTTGTGGCGATGGATTTTTAATTTTTTTTGGATGTGTGTTAATTGTTCAATATGCTAAGTGGTCTTGGCAACATTTGTGTTGCTTTGGGAATCTGGGTTCGAATCCTATCCATGTCGAGCTTGCAAAATTTGTATTTGATGGAGTTTAATTTAAAAACACATTATTTTGTAAAAATTAAAAAATGTCATTTTAGGGTTAATCATTTTTTCATCGAACAGCTTCAGGAAGCTTTGCATTTAAAGCTTATTGTATTTTGTTCAAAAATTCTCTTGTGAGCACATAAAGCTTTTAATTTAATCTCTAAAACTTTTAATCTCTATTTTGTAAAAATTAAAAAATGTCATTTTAGGGTTAATCATTTTTGCATCGAACAGCTTCAGGAAGCTTTGAATTTAAAGCTTATTGTATTTTGTTCAAAAATTCTCTTGTGAGTACATAAAGCTTTTAATTTAATCTCTAAAACAAAACAAATAAAACTTTCAGTGTTGTGCTCCAAATGTTTGTAAAGTTTAAAGCTTTTACCCGAAGTGTTGCCACCTTTGCTGGGTGTCACTTCAATTAGGGAACTTGACTGACATATTATAGGCATGGATAGAAAGGATTTTTTAATTTATTTTGAGTTCTTTTTAGTTTATTCTCAGTTATATCATTGAATGGACGAGAAAATATATAATGAACTATTGGATAAAACGGAACTAGATCAAATAGCAACGACTGTGGAGCAATATGAAAGAAAGAACCCGACCTAGTTTCATCGTTCCTTTTGCAGAGTAGTTCCTTTGAAGTAGTTCGTGTCGCAAACGTCGGTTTTACGTTTTGATATTAAGATCTGGAGTTAAGAAATATTTAACAATAAAATATGTGAATTACAACCACGAATGATTTACGCGGCTTTCTGCAGTTTTTTAATTGTTGGTCCTTCGAAAAACCTTTCCCGTGGTACGATACTCAGTGGAATAAGCAAAGAAATAATTGGAATCAATTGGCTTAGAATACCAAAAACATGCAATAGCAATTTTTAGTAAGAGAGCTCAAGAATGGTTACATGCTCAGATTTTTCCATAGAGTCCTGGGAAAAAAGTCTTGAACAGCAGGAGATTTAATCGAAATGCCCAGGAGTTAAGCGCTATATATACACATTTAACAAGGAGAATACCCTTTCGGGTAGTAGTTCCAATAAGCAATGGGTAAATATTATTAAAGACGAGTAGGAAGAACTGAATCAATTTGCATCCGAGATTAAGGATGAAAACATAAACTCGGGACTGACGCAGATTACTCGAATGTGTGAATCCATGGCATCGAGCGGGATTACCAGGAATTCTATTTTCGAATATTCGAATGCAGGAAAGAAAGTACAGACGATTTTATCAAGACGCCCGGGATTTAAACGCAATATGTACATATTTAACGAAGTGAATATCCTTCCGGACAGTAAATCTACTAAAGGAATGCGTAAATATTATTAAAGACAACTTGGAAGAACTGAAACTACTTGCATCCGAGATTAAGGATGACAAAATAAATTCGGAACTGAATCAGATGACTCGAATATGTGAAACTATTATGAAGGATGTGGACGGCATCAAGCTGGATTATCTGGAATTCTATTTTTAATCTTCGCCAAGAGCTTTAGAATGCCGGAGAGAAAGTACAGACGATTTAATCAAGTCGACCAGGATTAAAACGCCATATGTACATATTTAACGAAGAGGATATCCTTCCGGATAGTAGGTCTACTGAAGGAATGGATAAATATTATTAAAGACAAGTTGGAAGATCTGAAACAACTTGCATCCGAGATTAAGGATGACAAAATAAATTCGAAACTGAATCAGGTTTTTCGAATGTGTGAAACCATTATAAATAAAGTGGAGGGCATGAAGCGGGATCATCTGCAATTCTATTTTCCCATATTCACCAAGAACTCCAGTACGGAATAACTGAAACAACTTGCATCAGAGATTAAGGGCGACAAAATAAATTTGGAACTGAATCAGGTTACTCAAATGTGTGAAACCATTATAAAGGTAGAGGGATAATCTGGACTTATATTTTCTAGTCTTTGCCAAGAACTCCGGAATGTATGATTTTGCATTGGAGGATGTCTACAATGAAGCCGACTATGTAATTAGAAGACACAAGTAATGGTTTGTTTAGCATGTCAATGTAATTAGCCGATGTATCGACTTGAGACATGATTTGTCTAAAAACACATCGTTAATTGTAATGGGGTCTTTGAAGGCATCATATATGGAGCTTAGAATGTTGTTTCCAGAAAATGCAGATATATTCTACAAATTATAATGAAGGTGCTGTCTACTAGGCTAAAATCTTTCATTGAAATTATGGTGCCCCGGCAAGTCCTCGCTTTGAAGGGAATATATTTGCAAGAAGTAAAGATGGAGCTGGAGTTCAATGGTGCTGGTGGATAAAATTTCAGTGATAGAAATACCATGGAAGAATGTGCTCGAAAACGCGTAATTTAGAACTTGAGGGTTATGAAAAACAGGATCACGAAGTAGATCTCCTGAATGAAGAAGAAAATGGTGATGTGTTCCCCATGGAAGCCGGGGATGAAGATTGGTTGGGGTAAAGCAAGGCGATAAATCAATTCCTGTGATGGCGTCAAAAAGTTGTATAATTCCAGAAAGCCTGAGGAGTTAACTAGAAGCGGACAAATGCCTAGAATAACGGCATATCATGGACAAGAGAAGACAGTCGTACATGAAGCGGAAGCAATTGAAGCTGATCTAAAGTATGAAACATAGATTGAACCGAAAGGGAGACAGCATACCTAAAAATGTAGCTAATATTAAGGAAATAAAAGGTATAATGAAAGCCTTAGATTAAGGTGGAGGAGTATTCCTGGAGGCTGTAAAAAATTGGCTGCGAGCAAATAGATATAGAAAAAATTTGGCTTTGAACGCACGCGGACATCAACAGATGCCATGGGAACCAGGGTTCAAATCTCAGACGGGCTCAAGCTGAATTTTTTTAGGTTTGGTTTTATGCCTTATTAAGGCGAAGGATCATTAATGTAAATGTTTGTTTTTTATTAATTCTTTCGAGATGAGCTACATGATCGGAGTTGCAATGAAAAGGAAAGCCAGAGAGATACTACATTCCCACCACGCGTTTCGACGTTGGTTAAGGGGCTCATCAGGCATAATGGGCAGTGTGGCTTACAAATGTCTTTACTTGATAAGTTGTATTTATGTCGACTATTGTTGCGGAATTGCATCTACTAAAGTTCCTATTGCTTAATAGTTCCTATGAATTACTACGTTTCGGAACGTGTGGTGAGACGGGGAGTTGTACCATCATATTTTTTTTAATTTTAAAAGTATGGCAACGTTGTGATTTGCTTAGCACTCCAACTCTTCCTTTCTCTCTCTCTCTCTCTCTCTCTCTCGAAAAAGAAACTTTCTACTTCATTTGCACAATAAATCACTCTTCCAAGGACTTTACTGAGCCAGCACAGCAAAAAGCAATCTTCAATAAAAGCTCAAAGCAAATATTTGTGTTTCAACAAAAAGCTTTTTATTGCTGTGGCATTTTGTTGTGAAAGTCAAGGGAAAGTATGACGATTGCAGCATCCTGTCACACACAAAGACATTCCCATACATTCATGGGCCCTAAAGGACTTGCGTGTTCATTATTTGGCTTCTCTTTTTCACGCTCTCTCTCTCTCTCACTCTCCAATTAAAAAGAAAATATGTCTCATTTGTGTGCATAGATGGCGACCATAATAAAGTTTTACGTAAATTAACGCCGTGTTTGGCATGTTTTTGGTGTCAGTTCCAATTTTTCGTGTCAACTAAAAGGTCGTTGTGTTCGGCTAACTTTAAACGGTTTTCGATTGCACTTTGACTAGGCTCCGCATAGCATCAGTTAGTCAGCGTGGTCGCGGATATTTTTTGTATATCGACAGTGATTTTTGTGTGTGATTGTGTCAAATCAAAAAATATACAACAACAACAAAATCATTGCTCACACACACACAAATGCAGTTATATCTGAAAAGTATCTCGTCATTGTAAACAAGTTTGTGAAAAGGACTTCTTCTAAGGACTTTTCTAAACAAGAAAAAATTCATATATTTATGTTTATGTGTGTGCTATCACCTTTAAGCAATAAAGGTCGGCAGCGGGTGTTTTGAGTGTATTGTGTGTGGCTCTTTCCGTCTGAGAAATCGAAGAGTGAAATCATTTGAAAAAAAGAAGAAAATAAAAACAACAACAACAGTACTTTATATCAGTTTCTTGTGAACCTAAATAAAAGTTAGGTCCATAGAAGATATTCCTTGTGATGATTATATAGATAAAGGATATTTGTGTGAGAATAAGTTACTGCAGTAGTTTTTTATCTTTGGTTAGGTAATTGCTTCTTTAATTATTATTCCGGGAGAAAGGATAATTGGTTGGGCCAACTTAATTAAAATTAAAAAACTAATTATCATTTTTTTTAAAATTATAACATCAACCCCTCTTCTTGCTACTTAAAAAAAAATTATCCCAAAAGTATGCTATATTATTATTGTTGTTATCTCTGTTATGGCTTCCAGCCGCCATTTGTGTTAGTGGTTGCGCTCCTGCTACGGCATTTTACGCACCACCACACACACCCTTAAAGTAAATAATAAAAGGAAATATATTTTATTTTTCATTTCACGTTTCTGTTCTATTTTTCTAGTTTCTGCTTCACAGCCATTATTTCATATTTTGTTTCCCTACTCCACTCTCTCCCCTGTGCCCCCACCCGCCGCACAATGTTGTATGTTTATATATCTATACAGCAGGACCATAGCGGCTTATATATAACAACAACAGCATCATCATCATTGTCGTCCTCGTCGTCGTCATCATCATCCTTATCCTCCTACCATTCATTCAGTAGCAGCTGCTACTGTAACAACAACAAGGACGACAACAACAACAGCACAGTGTTGATCCAAATAGCCAAGTTTCAATTGAGCACGTTGTTCTAGTTTTCATTCCATTTGAAATGCCCTTTGGCCATGTTTTGGGATCTCGTCTCTATGTGTGTGTGCGTGTGTGTCACACACACACAAATATACTAGCTACGTATGGATGGCTATACAGTGCCTATAATTATGCTTCTGTTTTTGTAATCTATCTATGCACAAATCTACCATTCATTCACAAAACAATTAAATTCGCCGGAAAACATTTCAATAACAGCAGCAACAACAACAGCGGATCTGCCTTCAAACATCCGCCGCCTTTCTATGATTGTCAAATTAAATCATATCTATGTGTTTTTTTATATGGCAAAACTAAAAGTGAAAACTAGAGCATTTCACTAGCAATAAATTGTTAGAGAATTATAGAAAAAAACTATTGCATACTTCGTGAGTGAAAAGTAGACCCTTAAAAAATATACTTTAAAAAAATCCACGCCTCATGTAGACTCTCAAAAAATATACTTTAAAAAATCCACGCCTCATGTAGACCCTCAAAAAATATACTTTAAAAAATCCACGCCTCATATAGACCCTCTAAAAACATTCTTTAAAAAATCCACGCCTCATATAGACCCTCTAAAAATATTCTTTAAAAAATCCACGCCTCATATAGACCCTCTAAATCTTTAAAAAATCCACGCCTCATATAGACCCTCTAAATCTTTAAAAAATCCACGCCTCATATAGACCCTCTAAAAATATTCTTTAAAAAATCCACGCCTCATATAGACCCTCTAAAAAAATTCTTTAAAAAATCCACGCCTCATATAGACCCTCTAAAAATATTCTTTAAAAAATCCACGCCTCATATAGACCCTCTAAAAATATTCTTTAAAAAATCCACGCCTCATATAGACCCTCTAAAAATATTCTTTAAAAAATCCACGCCTCATATAGACCCTCTAAAAATATTCTTTAAAAAATCCACGCCTCATATAGACCCTCTAAAAATATTCTTTAAAAAATCCACGCCTCATATAGACCCTCTAAAAATATTCTTTAAAAAATCCACGCCTCATATAGACCCTCTAAAAATATTCTTTAAAAAATCCACGCCTCATATAGACCCTCTAAAAATATTCTTTAAAAAATCCACGCCTCATATAGACCCTCTAAAAATATTCTTTAAAAAATCCACGCCTCATATAGACCCTCTAAAAATATTCTTTAAAAAATCCACGCCTCATATAGACCCTCTAAAAATATTCTTTAAAAAATCCACGCCTCATATAGACCCTCTAAAAATATTCTTTAAAAAATCCACGCCTCATATAGACCCTCTAAAAATATTCTTTAAAAAATCCACGCCTCATATAGACCCTCTAAAAATATTCTTTAAAAAATCCACGCCTCATATAGACCCTCTAAAAATATTCTTTAAAAAATCCACGCCTCATATAGACCCTCTAAAAATATTCTTTAAAAAATCCACGCCTCATATAGACCCTCTAAAAATATTCTTTAAAAAATCCACGCCTCATATAGACCCTCTAAAAATATTCTTTAAAAAATCCACGCCTCATATAGACCCTCTAAAAATATTCTTTAAAAAATCCACGCCTCATATAGACCCTCTAAAAATATTCTTTAAAAAATCCACGCCTCATATAGACCCTCTAAAAATATTCTTTAAAAAATCCACGCCTCATATAGACCCTCTAAAAATATTCTTTAAAAAATCCACGCCTCATATAGACCCTCTAACAATATTCTTTAAAAAATCCACGCTTCATATAGACCCTCTAAAAATATCCTTTAAAAAATCCACCCCTCATATAGACCATCTAAAAATATTCTTAACAAAATCCACGTCTCATATAGACCCTCTAACAATATCCTTTAAAGTATCCACGCCTTTTGTGGACCCCTAAAAATATCCTTTAAAGTATCCACGCCTTTGTGGACCCCTAAAAATATTCTTTGAAGTATCCACGCCTTTTGTGGACCCCTAAAAATATTCTTTAAAGTATCCAAAAAAAAATCCACGCCTTTTGTGGACTCCTGGAATATTCTTTAAAAAATTCACGCCTTTTGTGGACTCCTAAAAATGTTTTTTTTTTTTAAATCCACGCCTTTTGTAGGCTCTTAAAAATATTCTTTAATAAATTCACGCCTTTTGTAGGCTCTTAAAAATAGTCTTTAAAAAATCCACGCCTTTTGTAGGCTTGGGAAAAAATTATTTAAAAAATCCACGCCTTTTGTAGGCTCTCAAAAATAGTCCTTAAAAAATCCACGCCTTTCGTAGGCTCTTAAAAATAGTTTTTAAAAAGTCCACGCCTTTTGTAGGATCTTAAGAAAATTCTTTAAAAAAATCCATGTCTCATGTTGACCCTTAAAAATATTTTTTAAAAATTCTACGTTTCTTTTAGGTCCATAAAAATATTTTTTTGAAAAAATCTTATTCAAAAGCATAATGAACAATTGTAAACCACTGTGCGTATGATTACTGTCAATACTCGTACGCTCTATGGCTATATGGCTTTGCACTGAAGGAATAGTTGAAAATTTCTTATTAATTTGTATATATTCGATTTGAAAATAAAATTCCTAGTAAACCATAAATAGATGGCTACCTTACATGCTCCTTTTGAATAAGTCGAGCAAC